ATCTTTTTGTAGGAAGTTGACTACTGACAAGTGCATGAACGTGATGCTTCTGTAAGAAGGGAGGTGAGGTTAACAGTTTTAAGGTTACTGTCCAAAGTACTTTTGAGTGAGATAAAATGGGTTGTGGTTGGAAGGAAAGATTAATGGTTCCATCAGGCGGTTGTTAGAACTTGCTTCACGGCAACAAACCTGTTTCCCGTGTTGCATCCTGTTGCTTTGGCAACGGTTATCAGACGAAATCCATGGTCATATCCTGTGGAGAACACAGAGACCCGTTGTGTTGAATTGAGATTTTTGGTCAATACGGTTGTCCAATAATGTCGGTAATTTATGACTACTTATGAGTAGTCAGAAATGTTTGTCTTATTATGTCACATTAGCAGGCTCAGTGTTCTTGCCAGGGGACGTATATTTGTATCAGTTTCGTGGTAGTTTATGGTGGTGTTTTAAGACATTTTTGGAAAGACAATACAGCGCTAAGCTTTTAGAGAATAGCGATGGACTGGCGGTCCTATCCAAAAAGGGAAATATTTCGATTCTGCGATTATTGCAATTGCAAACGAGTTCATTCCTAGAGACATACTTTCAAACCCAGAACAGTTTAGTCACAAAGATGGACAAGTTTCTTTTGTTGACGTAAAACTCAGAACGGTGGCCCCTCTGACGAAAGTCCATTCTAAAACTGTTCACTATAATCTTCAGTGCCATTGATTAGACATGAGTACTTCATTTAGATGCAGGCGCCATTGGACAAACTGCTGGAGACAGGGATCATTGACTCAGCCAGATGATAGCGTAAGAGGTTTCCGCATGCAGGACGGTACATCAAGTTAGGATAAAGAATAATTTGTGCTGTAATTTCACCTATAACGGCCAAGAATCTGGGGTGAACCTTATTAGGTATACCTTATTAGGCATACCAGCCTTGGGACACTCCTAAGTTTAATGGGGATTGCCTTCTTTTTTTTGAGGGCCACCAGGTAGATGAGCGTCTGAGCTTCCGTCAGATTATTTGCTATAACCCAAATTGTCCAAGAGCTTTCAACAAAGTTGAGAGTGTTAGGTTCCGTCAGGAAAATATGTTTCGATTTTAAAAAAAATCGTACCAACTAAAACAAGAGATTGTTCCTCTGAAGCCGATTCAGTTGAGAAAAAATTACAGACTAGAGATACAGCTGACCTTGAGTTGAGTCTTAGGTTAAAACCAAGTTGGTTTGCAGGTGAGTTTATTTTGCTTGCACCATTTTGTTTTATGGCTTAGACTTAGAGTCAAAGATGCTTATTTCAAGTCAAATCTCTAGACACCGATCAAGAGAAGTGTTCTGGGCGTTCCCGTTGAAAGCATGATTTGAGTGAAGGAAAAGTGCTCGTTCACGAATTTAAGCAACTAGAAGAACACCAATAAACGTTCAACATCGTTATCGACCCAATAATAAAAACAAAAATTGGTACCAATCAAATTCAAGGTACCTGTTTCACATTGCCGCTCTCAAAGCCTGCTACTCTGCGTTAGGTTGGCCAACGGGTAGCTCTTTCTCAGACCTTGGTCTCTCTTAGTACGTTGTGTCTCCGAAACACGTAAAAAGTAACTTAGTTTGGCTCTACATCTGAAACCGTTTGACACGAATTAACATATCTTGTATTTTACTCTTCAAGTGTCCAGAGTTTCTGAAGCAATCTACGGCGTGCGAGTTATGGTTGGTTCCGTCGCTCAAAGTTTCTTACCGGACTGGCTTCCATTGAAAACTCGTCTTTCCGCTGTTAGGTTCCCTGGTTCTATCGAGATCAGCGCAGCTCGAGGTGGCAGATCAAGTTTGTTTGTTACGTGAGGATACCCTACAAACGACGGTAGGTCAAACCCAATACTTTCATGTAAACCGATCGATTCAAAAGATAATTTCGCTTACCTTGAGGCCACTGCATGTTTCCCCAAAAACTGCATTTTTGTTCCAATCGGCGAGTCTTTTTCCGGCCTTAGACACCGAAGTGGGAACAACAACTAGATATAACACATCTTTATTGGCTCGGTAGCATATCCTTCAGTCTGTAAGATGCCATCAAGTAGTTGAAGTGGAAGAAAGCACCACGAGTTTGTTTTCGAGCTGCAGAATGTGAGACAAACAAGGCCAAGTAAGCTACACTGGTAGTTTCATTCTACCCTACGCTTTAGTATGCGTTTATTTGAGCGAACAGGTACCACTATGAGAAGATGAAGTTCAAATACCCCGGTGGGCGTAGGTTCGTGAATATGAAACGATAAGAGTATATACATTTTCCTTCTTATTCTGCCTCCACACCAATTGCGAATTTTCAGCACCGCTCCACAAGAGCAAACTTTTAGCACCCCTCTACAAGAGAACCTCTCTACAATGTGATCAGCTCACGAGACCATTTTATGCATTGAACTGGTGCAAAGTACCATTTTAGCCGGTGTGTTTAATATAACAGCTGCTTAGGTTAGAATATTCGGCGTTCCTTGCGATTCACATCCATAAAATGACCTCAGTTTTTAATTTAAGTCCACGTTTCCCCTCATTTGCGATATCATAGAGCCTATTGGAGCCTCATAATCACCGTGTAGTTTTGTCTAATCTAACGGTTTGACGGATTACTGTACCCCTGGACGGAAATAACAAATAAGAGGAGTGCGTATCGATCTCTACCGTGATGTTCCTTCTGATTTACGTTTGTCTAGCATAGAAGGGATTTAGACCGTTTAAAATTCTTTCAATATGACATCCGTCATGATGGCGTGTCTTTTCTTCGCATCTTGCCGATATAGAATCACCTTGATCAGTCAAACGTCAATATTTTTTATCAAGGCACACACTCCTTCGTTCCATCTGTGATATGACGCTGTGATAACTCCGCGTTACGATTGCACTATGGTCAGCCAGGACGGCTTTGTTATGCTGGTGCGTTCTAAAACCCAGTGGCATTGTTGACCACCCCTAGTACTCAAATGCAATTGAGAGGACTACTTTATTTATTGTTATGCACCTATTGCGGGACTTCGTAACCTATACTCGACGTACAAAATTCGTTGTAACACTTGGTCCCCCGATCAAACGTGTTTTTCAGGAAATTGTTTCTCAAAGTTTCTGACCACGGAAATTTTGTTGCATTGCACATACTACTTATTCCGGCACATGTAATTTTCCTATTCGTCTAGGATAATAGAAATTCGAGTGCCACAGTTTTGTGTAGCTTAATTTCCGTTATTCCGCGTTTCCACTGGGTGTGTCATCTCATTAGCCCACAGTATAACGTTTCGGTATTTCTGCACACACCAAACTGTTCACGTATAAACCGAGCAAATTCCTTGAGTACCACGTTCTGAAAGTGTGACAGGAACAATGAATAGGAACGCTTCTGAAAACAAAATAATATACACACTCCGCGTGATAGGACACAACGCCAATTTCACGAGTGAGATGGTCAAATGAATGGAAAACCGCCTTATAAAAAGCATGATAACGATAAGAATGAACCAGTAAGGGGAGTAAATGTATAAAGATAGATATTACACCTATATGAGCTTCGAAATTCGGAAGCCCTTTCTGTGTTCAGCAACGAGCTAGGTCTATAAACCAGAGTGGTTTCATTAACATTTCATACCTCTTATAAAGTATGACTAGCCGTTTTTGCTACTAGTGAAAAGAGTGGACGTGAATCCACGTTCAGATTCCAAACACTAACCATAAGGTTGCTGAAAACCCATCGACAGCCCACCTTCTTGGGGCTCACAAGGTGGGGGCAGACGCTGAGTTCCCGTTGACCATACGTTCTACTAGAATCCTCGCATCTCTATGGCTTTTAGTGGTGAATAACCTGAAGCCTAGCCGAAACTCTTGTCTGTTGTGTTCTTCTCCAAATGAATATGGGTATTAGTATAGTGTTTGCAATAAATCGCGCCATTTCAAATATCGCACCAACCGAAATATACGGAAGCCTGGTGCAGCACATTCAGTAGTAGAACATAAAAAACGAGAGATTGACTTGAGTCTCCTGTGTAAAACAAAATGATTTGCAAATGAGTGTATTGTGATTTCAAGTAGAACATAAATTTGACGAAAAATCGGGAACTGCGCCTACCTGACGAGCCCCGAGAATGTCGAGAAGGGTGACGGGATGTCGAAGAAAATTCAGCAGCATTTTGAGTAGTGTATGACGTACATACATATATCGTTATGTGTCGGATATTGTACTAGATGTAACATGAGGAAGCCTGGTGCAGCACATTCCGTTGAAGAACACCGTAAACCAGAGCTTCAGCTGTGAAAACCACATTGGTGTGGAAAGTAATTTTCTAATAAATCCAGCTTCCCTAAAATTATATTTTAAGATCGGAGACTCTGCGCTGAGAAGCAGGTATCATATTGGATGAAGCAGAACCTACTACTACTATACCAATAATGCAAACAGGAACGGTTTTCGGGGCACTCTTCTCATGATTGAACGGCAGTGCACTACCAGTGTAACGGTGATACTACTGCCTAGGAAGGTCTGCGAGTAGTATGTTTCCTTGTAAATCCGCTTCGCGTCACTTGAAAAATGGTATCTATTGCGGAATTTGTGAAGTCGCTTTGTAGCATTTGCTTGGATTTGAGTAACAGTCATTGAATATCCAGGAAAGTTCAAGAAGATGCGTTCCATGAGAAGATGGGTATTTAGTTTTTGTAAACAAGATGCATATGAGTGTTTTGCTTCCCCGTCCAATAGTCTGTAATTGTTAAGTTGGCATATTCTGGTAAATAACTTCGCAGCAAAGACCTTCTTTCGACCAGTGTTCTCATATGATGCTGCTTTCAACAATGATGGTGATACTCCGTCCACTATAAAGTGGCAAAACTTTGCACATGATATTTGTCCTGATCCGGGGAGATTGATTTGACAGCCTTTGACTGTATGGTGATAGAGTTTAGTTTAGTTCGTCAATAGTCAAAGAGGAAGTCCACAACAACAGATCAGTGTAGAAGCAGAATTACTAGCCACGTGGCTGTTGGTTAACGTGATTGACGTCATCAAACTCGTTGCCTCACCCCACACTGGATGAGGCTATTAGTAGGTATTTTTACCTTCCTATCCTACAAAGATGCAATCGATGCCAGGGCAAGTATGGAGTATTTTGACGCGTTTTACGCTAGGCGGAATGACTGTGAACTCAGCGAGTTACGGGACAGTCACTCAGGCATCTTAAAAGTTCCGTGTGAACCACGGAAGCCTTACAAATGCTTCATCACGGCAAACACTCAGTCACTGGTAGCTTAGCTATTGATGTAAGCAAATGACGCAGTGTTCAGTTTGATGTCATGCCAGTTTTTCAAGGCTAAATTTATCCACCTGGTTATGTGGATTGCATGGCTTCAAAACTGTTTACTCCACCAAGTCTTGGGACGAAATGACGTGGTATTTTACCACCACCAACAATGTATCTTACCTGCCAAAGAAACCTGCTTTTATGTTTTCTGATTTGCAAGCCCAATGCAAAAGATTTTGCGTGAATTTTTACCCGAACTTATTCTTCAGCTTGCATCTCACTCCGCTGTAAAGTTCATGCGTTATACCGAACGATTCTCCCCTAACGGGGTACTGAGTAAAAATCTACCAGACTATTCACGCTTAAGAGTGACTAGTTTGTTCCGCAAGCGCTCATATGAAACGTATTTACTCAGGGACTCCAGTCGATCATGATCAGCTGGAAAACTGAGGAGATGGGAATATACACCGACCGATATCATGGTTCCCTGGCCTGATTTCATCACAAGTCTGGAGGCTTGTGTGACGAACTTAAATCCATTTTTTACGGTGCAAAGCTTACATCGAGATGTCTGATCTTTTGGGCTGACGGACTGGAAACGCATGCAATCCTCATGCGCGATCGGAGATATCTTCGAAAGTTGTTGCGGGGGGGGGGGCTCACAAAAGAACAATTATTCGGACCTGGTCTGTCTTAGCGATAATCTTTCCAGATAACTCGGATGAGCAGAACACACAAATTGCATTTAAGTGAAGTTTTATGTGATTGTTCCACGTTTTAACGGGATCCGACTTCCTTCGTCACTAAATTATGTTTCTGTTTACTCTACACAGAGCTTCGTTTGCGTTCGCCTATTGTCCAAAATTTTAATACCACTCACCAAACGAAGCCTCATTCAAATCTGTCCCAATCGAACTCCATTAGCAGTGACGATCTAGCAGGATAGAGCATTAGTCTCTTGAAACTAAAATTAAACTTCTGGACAATGAGGAAGCTACATTTCCCCTAGGTAGGAACACAAACAACTTCCGGGAAAATTTCAGTCATAATGTTTTGAACATGGCATGCATTTTGCGAAAATTACACCAGATTAAGATACTGTATGTAGATGAAGAGAGTTTATACATTTATACTCACATTTATACCCTCATTTGGGTACTTCTATATTTGTCCTGGCAAAACTATCCAGGTTCGTCCACCGTAGACGGGTGGGCTCTTATTAGAGCTCACCAGCAATACATTCAATATGCGAGGCAAGCATATACTGTATACCCGTGATTTATCATGCGTGAACACTAGCAAACGTATTAACAATTGAGTGAGGCCAGTGACTTACCAGTTCTGCGTACGATGAGGGTTTTGTGAGCAAAGCTTGATTTTGTGTTCCGGTAGGTTTTTTAATGTTGTGAGCCCTACATTTGGGTTTTAGGAACAAAAGGCTGAGGAGCTTGGCAACAAGTTAGGTTTATTGCCTCATTCCCGCCGATCTCATCCAGATGCACTCAGTCTTTGTGGTCCTCGACCTTGACGGATTCAGACCATTTTCAGAATACTTGTTTATATATTTTGCATTCATCGCGATCGGTCCCCGAGCCTGTGGTCAATGAGCTTTGTCAGTAGGGTAAGCGGACATCGTATTTAGGCGCACTTGACTCTTCGGTTTTCCGACTGGCCTGGATGGTCACAATTTGAGTGTGGTTTGTATGGGCCGGGATGTGGACAGATAGCACACGAACAAACAACAGCAGAACCCAACAACTCGTGCCTACATTGATATAAATGGTCCAATGTGCTGTTTTGCTTGAATCCAGGAAGGAATTGCAGAATCAAGAGTGTGGCTAACCCCGGTGATGCAACTACCTGAGATGTGAATGAACTTGGTAATATAGGCATAAAAGTAGCAATGAACAATTGAACTACCCAGAATTCGAGCAGAAAAATGCCACAAAGTTTTGATCCATGCTTCACAAGTTCGGATGTGGTTGAGGAGTCATGGTTCCAGTGAAGTGATCTGAGATCGCTTGCGGAAAAACCGACTTCCCACAACTTTTCAAAGTCGATATTGACATGACCGATATTTGGAATTCAGTTCCTACCGATCCAGAAGCGATGACTTCATCATCGATATGATGGTCGAATGATATGGAAGAACTACCCAGTAGTCTTAGATATTTCATTTAGTGTACCGGGAACATCTTCTCTTTCCCAGACTTGAAGATCGTCACTTGGGGATTTTTACTGCATGAGTTTCTTCTAATTTAGTTTTCTTTCCATAGCGACTCAAACTTGTGATGGTCTATTCAGCTAAGCTTTCCAGAGCGATAAAACTGTAATAAAGCCCCACGGTTCCAATACGAAGTGAATGGTGGCTGACATGTTTGAAGTCTCTCCGAGTTTTTCACTATAAATCTACGGTGCCAAATGCCTAGTGCTCCAAGGATTTCCCAAATATGTTGCTTTAATTTAGAATGACAACGACCGATAAGTAAGGTCATTAATGAATGACACTCTGACCCACTTGATTGAGAACAAGAATGATTTTGCCAAGCAGTAAAGGGGTTTTCCTCAGTTTGGCGGTCCCGGTAATGGCATTTTGTATCAGTGTTCAAACTTCTCCAACATATTACCCACACAGTCACACTGGCTCATGATATACACAGCTAGTGTAGCGGTGATACTACTGATGTGAGTGGCATGCGAGTAGTGTGTTCCTCTCGTAAATCCGCTTTGCATCTCTTGAAAAGTGATATATATTACGGGATTTGTGCAGTCGCTTTGTAGCATTTGCCCGGATTTGAGCAACAGTCAATGAATATCCAGGAAGGTTCAGGAATACGCGTTCAAGGAGAAGAGGGATATTCAGTTTTTGTAAACAAGATGCATATGAGAGTTTTGCTTCCCCGTCCAATAGTCTGTAACTGTTAAGTTGGCATTTTACGATAAATATCTCCACAGCAAAGGCCTTCTTACTTTCGCTAGTAGGTAAACAGCCTTCTTGGAAGGCGTAAGAAGGAGGGAGGTCTTGCATATCCAGGTCGGTTGGTATACTGCCAGTTCAGATTCACGTGGCGTGATCCACACAAGTCTCCGGCAATTATCCTAAAATTTCCTACTTGTAAGACATTCATGCAGTGAAAATTTTTGTTATTTCGCTGGAAAACCAGCTTACATTGCTGTTACATCTAGGCAAAGTACTCCTGTTTTGATGTCATCTCAATGCACGCATATGTTCTTAAGACGGACGGTGTGGAGATGGTGAGGTGGATGCCACAGGCAGGCAAAGCGCTGCAAGAATGGCTTGCAAATACCCTTACAGAGGGAATCAAAATATGTTTAACCTCCAGGTTTTGTTTTTAAATTGGTTGTTTACGCTCGAAAACAAAGTGGAGGAGGGTGGAAAGTTAAAGAGAGAGCTTTATTCGGGCTCGAATATACACTGAGTTTACTTTGGACGTACGTGAATGATGCGTTTGTTGTGACTGAGCTTGGTAAGGTTAACAAACCTTAGCGCTTAAATTCCTTACATTGAATGCCACGTGATGTTGCCCTTTCTAGACTGCGTGGCACACAAGGATGATGAAAAAGTTGGAAAAAAACCTACCGGTACAACTGTGTATGATCCAAAAGCAGTGTGCGCTGGCACCCTTTCAGAGATATTTAGTCCAGTTGACAAAATAAAAAGCCACCGATACTCGAGTATTTACACAGGTCATACAGTCAGCGGGTTGCATAGTGGTGAACACAAGCGGTGCGAAACGCAAATGAATATCAGGCATTAGTTAGAGGTTTGGCAATGGCGGGACACCCAGTGGACATTAGGTACAAAATAGGTAGCAGTTTTGAGGCGTGGACTCACATCACATCTACTGACAACCAAGACGATTGACGCGGCATATCTTTGAGTGCTCTTGGTTTGCGATTGGCTCTGCGTCAAGGTTCACAGCTCATTAGGTGCGGGACTAACGGCCATCATTCGTAGTTGAATTCTACACAGCAAAACGCAAAATAATCACCATCGGTAGAGTTATACTCCAGAGCCTCATGACTCCATTGAATAATGTGAAGGGTTGTTCATGGGAAGACTTCACTTTCACGGAAATTTCGATAGGTTACAACTCAGATGGCATTGTAACTTACCTCCAATCGATCTGTTGAGACCCAGTATTGAAAACTGGGGACACACACGGAAGTAGGTCAATAAGACAAAAGCCTATATGGTACATTTAAACTACAGGGAACTTAAGGATTGAGTGTGAACACCGATCAAATTTCAATGCGTATTGGAAATATGTTAGCCACCACAGACTATTATCCACTCTGGTCTCCCCGAGGGCGCATTCAGGAGGAGGCCCAAGATCTATTCTGCGCGAATGAACACGTTTTCAATAGTAGAACTGCACGGCAAACTTGAAATTAGGAAAAAGCATTTATTTTTAGAACACGTGTTACAACTGGTGAAACATGACACGAGTAGCACAGTCGTCCGATGTAAATTAGGCGGAGGGCACAACTGGTTAATAAATCCGTTGAGTGCTTATTTGTCTTTCAGCTATGGCTCTGGTTATTGCCAGTACGGCAACCTGAACAGCCAGCACAGCGGCACAGACCGCCAAGAAATAAGACCATTGTCGGCCAATCTCTCCGGTGTAAATGAAAACTCCAATAAGCAAGGATACGATTCCGATTGTCAGAAAAACGTAGTAGGTTATTTGAAACCCTCGGCCGATTGAGACCTTGGGATTACAAAGCGCCACAAGGTCCATAATAAGTAAAAGCACGAAACACAACGATCCGACGAGAAGCATGGCAGCAATTGCTGTGGCCAGTGTTTTGTATTTTGTGTTCTGGCAACCAGTGAATAGATTTCCACATCCCCAAGCGTTTGTTGCCAAAGCACTGAGGGTCAGAGTGAGTGAAACAGATAATATGACGAGTGGGATTCCATGGAGCATTTGAGCCATGTTGATCAAAGTCCCGAGAGCACACTGTCCTTTTCGTACCTTCTTTGATCTATGTATACCAGCCGTATGGCTATGTTGCCCAGCACCCAACCCGTTAAGATAACCAAGAACCGTCTTACATATGGTTTCATTGAGGTCTAGTTACATCTGACTCTGATTGGTCCTAATACTGTGTGTATTAGAGACGTCACACATTACGAGACTGTTCCTGCTCTTGTAAAACACTTCAATACTACGAGGTGCAGGTACGTTGCAATACTGTGTGATAGATTGGTACGTGTGAGCTACTCACCATAATCTTGCCTGCCTATACGTCACACAGACATGTTTTGGCAAGCTCACTGCGTACTGTTTTTGGAAACCCAGAAATGTGGATGCTTCATACAGTCCAGCTTTACACCTATCGTGGTTGAATATACTCAATACCAATATATACTGCTAACAAACAGTACCATTCACAAGCACTCACTGTTCAGGAAATGTGCAGATAGGTAACGTGCTCTCAGTCAAACTATTACCATGCCCTAACTCCTGATGTTGCTATATGCAGTGGATGAATCAGAGAGCATTTTAATCTAGTTTTTCAAGAGCTCCATGGGGAGGTTTTATAAAAGAGGCAAGTCAGATTTTTTTCACCGATTCATCAAGGATTAAACTATAATAGGGCAGCCAATCCACTGAAACCGGTCGCTCGACAGTATGTGCTCATTCTTTGCATTCGTGAAGTAATCCAGCATGGTCCTCTGACAACAACCGGAGAAGAATCAGATACCTACAAGTCAACATTGTTCGTATCATATGAGCAATAGTGCTTGTGGCCGTTCTGCATAAAGCTTCTTTACAACGGTTATCATATACATTGAGGTAAAATCTATCCCAGCCGCCTGTAGGCATCATTCCATTGAACACTCCAAGATGATTTTCTGAAGTTACAGATTAAGGTGCAACATGCGGTAATTTGTGAATTTTTCCGAAAGGGCCCTGGTCATGTAGGGTTATACTCGTTAAATGATCGTGTTAAATGATCTCTTGTTTGACCATACAGTATGCCAGTCGTCACGTGATCTAGTGAACACATAGTTTCTTGTTTTGTTCTAACTGTACATATGAGGAAAACTGCTGAATTGCATTTACCGATCATACTGTTCATTTGCACGCCCTTTTTAAAAGATGCATCCATGTTAGTCATAGTACCTGGATGTATATTCGATTGTCGCAGTTACGAAATGAAGTTGGTGACAAAAGCTTGAAATTGCTATCTACTTTAGTACCCTCGACAATGTGCGTCCGCTCACCAAAAGCACTGTCATAATTTTAAGAGGTGTACGACCGTGACATTTGGGTGATGCTGTTGAACGCACGTCAATTCCTGCAGAAACTTACGTAGGAGGTGGGTTGGTAAGGATCATATATGAATACGTCGTTCCATCGCATACTCTAGTAGCCCTTCTACTAAAGTATTAATAAAGTACACTGACATTCTCTTGGATACCCCCTATGTCGTGGAGCCACTGTACTGTAAACGTAGTGAGAATCGCCAAATCCATCGAGACAATGATTCCGCTACATTATTGCTGACAACTTGCTGACCGAGGTACACGCATGCCCAGGCAATTAAAAAACCAGGCGTTTTAATACATCTTCGATGGAAACACTTCTTACAGTATTCTCACTGGATCCCTGTGCCTATGTGTTTTCTGAGCAGGAGGAATACAGGGCAAAGATATCCCACAGTTTCCAAGGTACCAACTACTCACAGCCGCAAAGACGAAAACCGCATGAAGATAAGATAGAAAATATTCCACAGAAAGTTCGGCAAGTCCACTATCCCTCGGCTGTTTTAGAAATTCTTTTCCTTTCTGTAAAGGCGTAAGCATATCCATCGTGAAAATCTACCTATGTGAAAGTTTCACTGCTCTTGGGACTAATCCACTGTTCGAAGTGTTCAATTCTGCCCCACCCCCCACACTGTCTCACCACCCTTCGACCGGTGCCGTGCAAACAACCCATCTACCAATCGCCTAGCCACCATTCGGTGTCTAAACCACCCTCCAGAAAACTGAACCAAAATAATTACTTACTAACTTGAAAGATTTGATTGACGCTGCAGCATTTAACGTCCGTACTCTATGTCAAATCAGACAACAGACATCCCTTGCTGAAACCTTGCTGTCCGTCTCTATCGACGTAGTTTGTGTTTCCAAAACACGCGCACAAGACCCCACTTTCGGTCGTGCTCCTCTAACCGCTTAGGACGAGCTCAGATGTTCCCTTTTCACAGTCCGGGGATCTGGCGATCCTGACACAATGGATGGCGGTTTCTAAGATGTGGAACTTGCAACCATGACTGAAAGTGCCTTACTGGACTTGCTCGCAGTAAACAGTGGCCTTTTCGCTGTGCGGTTGGTGGCCCAATTAATATCAATGCACTTCGATACAGGAAGTGGTGTTTATTTGTCACATCGGCGTACGCCCTGACAGACTGCAGTTCTGAGACTGAGAATGACGAGTTTTATCAACATTTGTCGTGACTGCTTCGGTCAGGAAGAAAGACGAATATAATAGTACTGCTGGGTAATATGAATGCCGAAGTTTGACGAATAAGTCCAGAAGACGCGCAGTTTTTTGCTAAATATGGATTTGATGTCCAGCGTACGAATACTGGGGGACCCTCAATTGTGTGTAGTTCATCGTCTGTTCCTGGCCAGTACGAACTTCCAACACAAAAACTCACATCACGTTACTTGGAAGTTAATAACAGCAAGGCAGTGATGAACTCAGTTGAACCGTGTGACTGATGGAGAAAGTCAATCGGAGATTGTGGTTCCCTCTGTTATACACAGCTTGACTTTGATTACGTCATCGTGCAGGCCAGGTTATCACTTCGCCTCCAGCCAGTTTCAGTAGCTCAAGAGTATCGAGCTGATCTGTCTAGAAAGCACCTTAAAAGGCAGAGTCATGTGGATGACGAAGTTTTCTTGGAGGTTGAATGGAGGTGAGCTAAAGAAGCAAAGCTCCCAGCTTTCAGAACGTTTTTCCTGGCCATATGAACACCGTAGATCTTGTTGATACCAGAAAAAAATGACAGAAAACGCTGGTAGATTTCGAAGAGACAGGAGATGGAGGAGGCTTTCGCTTCAGGCAACAGTCGCGACCTGTTTTATTTGCTTCAATCAACCCACCAAAAAAGCCAGGCGTCAGTAAAACAATATGCAAAGAAGACGGAACAGCAATGCGATCCCCTAATCGTTATGTTGAGCGGTGGGCTGAGTACTTCCAAGAACCGTTCAACTTGTCTCTTTCGACACAGCCAGTGGAAGAATCAAACGGACCCAAATGAAACACTGATACCAACCCGCCAGCAGAAACCGAGATCAAGCTTGAGAAATCAATCCCGAAACTCATCAAATAGCCTGACTAGGATGGTCTGCATCCCGCGCTCTTCGAAGAAGGTGTCGGGGTCCTAGTGTACAGTCTGACGACCATACTGCAGAAGATTTGGAACGATAACAGAACACCAATCAAATGAAGCTCCTCGAGCGTCATCCCAGTTTTCAAGAAGGGCGCAAGGACTTAATACGAAAACAACGGTGGTATCAGCCTGATATCTGACGGTTAATGATATTAGTAGAAATGGCCCAATCGCGCAGTCAATTGCGCTCACGCATAGAAGCTATCGCATTTCGTTTGTAGCTACTCAGTTCCCGAACTAACCAGATGTGGCATCGCCTCCAAGGCTTGGCTGTACATCGCACACTTTTTCGCTTTCTGATGGTCGAAATTGTCGCAGCTGGAACCAGCGTGCCTATGGTACACGGTTTATAGCTGATAAATTGATCGACTAAATGGCAGCCCCATCGTGAAATCGTTTTTGATGGTCACGAATTATAAAACGGGTTTGCTGAAGTCATCAGGTGTATCTCAAGCTTCGTTACAGAAGCAACCCCTTTCAAGACATGACTTATATAGTCAGTTAGTTGCTATTTAGGTGGCAACAATGCACCGAAAATCTGACGAATTTTCCACTTTGCGGTTCTCTGGTGAGTGTATCAAACAATTCAGACCTAGGGTTTCTGATGGCCCCATTAGAGTCAATATACTGAGCAAATGGTGAACCTATGTGTTTGAACCGTTGATCAACTGTACTTACAAAACACAAGTTCAAAGCACAACACTAAGTTGCATTAATGGCTTCCCCTACTACGTTCTGCATATCAAAGTGACAGGCTTCTAACTCACTGACTGACTCAACTGAACTACAATGCGTCAACTTGGAACATACACACCACCGTCCGTGTAGCAACCTAGTGATGCAAATGAATCCAGCAGCATTAATAAAGGATTCTGTTTCGAAACGCAACATCGAACGATGTATGCGATAAAAGTTTCCAAACGTTTAGCCCTTGTTGTGCATTTCTGAGAAACCTGTTCAACGAACTATTTAAACTGTGTCATGTTGCTCGTCTGCTGCATGACGTGTCATTCTCAGAAAGGTACGTATAAAGGAGTTTGTTAGAATGAACTGCTAGCTTTTAAACAAGTGTACTAGCTCTTGTGAACCTACCGTCAACAGGAAGCAAAAATACTTTTTCTTGTTATAGCTGCTATAGACCAGTGCTCACAGTACGAAAGAGCTCGCAAGCTTCGTTTGGTAACCCATTATGCTTGACGCCTAATACGGGTACCCTCTCGTAGCAACAGAATCATGAAATACGTGACTGTAAGTGGTCCGTGGAGCAACTGTAAAAACTGATCAAAACAACTTTCCGATTTCGCTAAGCTTATCAGGTTGGGAATTAACATATCTAATTGATATCTACAAACAATTTTTCCACTTCATATTACAAGTTTATTTCCACTCCGTCACGTGGGGACTGAACCTTACCGTGGTGTGGCGGTTTGTGTACCTCGGCCACCCATTGGGCTATACTGGGGAGTGTCCGCACCGATGTTCACGGAGTCTTTCTTACCAGGTTGGTTCATGGGTAGAGGTCCGACGAACACAGTCTCCTGGACCTCCAGGTCGGGGGTTGGAACATGTGTGGAGACGTGTTCCTTAAAAATGGTAATGTAATTACATTCCCAGGCAAACAGTGCTGACTTGCGGTTAGGCTTTTGAGCCAGAAACTTTGGTTGAGGATCCTATCGTCCTCCTGTCTAGCTGTGGGTGCCCTGGTAGTATCCAAGTCCTTGTCCTAACGACACTAATGCCACATCCGCCGTCGCGTGGTGACATCAGCCGGGTCGCCTTACTTGCCGCGTACAGCAGGGTGGGTAAGCGAAAACGTGCTACTGCTAACGCCTCCCTTCTTACACTTTCACGTTTTCCTTCTTCCACCCTCCCCCACCCAGATTCGAATACTTTCTCCGCAGGTCACAGCTCTAGGACTGACTGTGTTGCTCGCCCTGCATCACACTCAACTGCAACTTCTGCACGTCTGAGTTCAGATACAACCCTAAACACTTCGAAGTATGTCTTCAAACTCCGAAAGCCTGTCTACTTAGCCACGTTCAATGTCCGCGCACTGAAACAAGCAGATCAACAGGTGGCTATTGCGCGTACGCTGGATTCCCTCTGTATTGATATATGTTGTCTGTCAGAAACAAGGACGCAGGACGCAAGTACTGTGAGCGAACTGACTGCCCACTCGCTCTCCTCCAGGTTCCGACTGTGCACCTCTGGTGATGCAGAGGCCACTGCAGCTGGATATGCGGGGTTGGGTATTGTATTAAGCGAACGAGCGGAAGGGTCTCTGCTTGGTTGGATACCCGTTGACAGTCGCCTCTGTGCGGTTCGTTTGGCAACATCGGTGAGAGAATCTAGAGAAAGTGAGGTTCATCGCACCCTTTTCATTGTGTCTGCATACGACCCAGCTGACTGTAGCCCTGAATCTGTCAAGGACAATTTCTATGACGCTCTAGGTGTCCTCCTACAACAGGCTAAAAGCTCAGATATCGTTGTGGTTGCTGGTGATATGAACGCCCAGGTAGGTAGACCAAGCGCTGCTGAGGCCCGATTGGGTGGTCGTCTTGGTTTGGACACTAAACGCACGGACAACAGAGACCGCTTTCTTCAGATGTGTGCCGATCACAGACTGTTCCTTTGCAGTACGAATTTCCGGAACAGCGGAAATCGCTTGACAACGTGGTGCCCACCATCAAAGCAGCGCCAAATCCAAATAGACCACATCGCCGTCAGTTATCGGTGGCGAGGGTCGATCACCGCCTGCCGCTCCTTCTAAAACACCAGCGTGGACTCCGACCATGCACCTGTACGCTGCTGCTTTTCATTGCGCTTTTCAGGTGTACGCAAAGTGCGCACACCTCGTTTAGCCACTAAGAAGCTAGTGGACCCAGAAGTCAAACGAAACTATCAAAATCAGCTCCTTGAATGCATGCCGGACGGTGCGGTGTCGGATATAAACGGCCACTGGGAAAAAAATATCCAAGGCGCTACTCGAAGCAGGAGCGTCTGCTTGTGGTACAACTCGGCCACCCTCATTCAAGCACTGGATCTCTGATAGGACCGTGTCTTTGCTGGAGACCCGGCGACGTATTCCACGTGACGGCCACCACAACTCCACCAGGCGCATCATCTGACGCCAGGCGGAAATGAGTGTCCGCACAGACCGAGAAGCTTGGTAAACCCGAAATCCCGAAGAAATGGAAGATGCAAAGAATGTTGGAAACTTGCTGAAACGGTTACACTTGATTCGTTTGACTGGTACTCGGAAACCTCTTGTCAGCGAAATAATCAGGGACCAGAATGGTTCCCTGATATGCAACAAAGCAGGACGTTTGGACCGCTGGGTACAGTACTTTGAGCAGCAACTCAGCCGGCCATCTGCTACCTCCAATCCAGAAACCCGGCCTTCAACAGAAAGGTGGACTGTAAATACGGAGCCGCCTTCAGTCTCAGAAGTGTCCGAATGCATTTCTCTGCTCAAGCGTCATCGTGCTGCTGGTCCTAACGACCTTCCACTGGCTCTTTTTAGAGATGGTGGTGGATTCCTCAGCCAGTGCCTGTCTAGCCTGTTTGGGTCTATCTAGGAGAAGGAGATCGTCCCAGACAACTGGGGTGAGTCAATAGTAGTGCCCATTTTCAAAAAAGGTACTCGCAGTGAATGTAGCAACCACAGAGGTGTTTGTTTAACGCCTGTTGTGACAAGGCTCCTGACCTCATTGATCCTTCGTCGTCTCATGGCGGCACGCGAAGTCTTGACTCGTGAGAATCAAGCGGGATTTCGACCGGGTAGAGGCTTTACACTCCATCAGGTGTTAGGGCAACGCCACATGTACAGACGACCCACAACCTCGGTATTCCTTGACTTCAAGGGTGCGTTCGATTCTGTTGATCGATCGGTGGTTAATTACACTTGCTCAACAGGGTATGCCCCAGAAGTTTGTAAAGATAATCCGATCCCCATATTCACATACTTCTGGGCTGGTGAGGGTGCGTGGTGAGGTTTCCAAAAGCTTCCCTACAAAAAGTGGTGTCAGACAAGGATGTCCACTCTACTCATTCTTGTTCAACTTCGTCATCGATGAAATAATTAGGCAAACACTGGACGGTTTTCAAAATTCTGGTGTTCAAATTATCGCTGGCAAGAGCCTTGTCGATCTGGAGTACACAGCTGACATCGCTCTAATTGTTGAAGCCCTGATGAATAAGCTGACCACCATCATACCACCTCTTGGCATCCGCGTTGCACCTTCGAAGTGCAAAGTCCTGCTTCAGAACATGCCATCTGCGAACATATTCCTCATAATTCAAGGAGAATCACTGGAGATTGCGGAAAACTTTACATAACTCGGTAGTTATATTAGTTCTGACAGAAATGTGTCTGATGAAGTCAGTGCAAGAATCTCAAAGGCTCGAATCACGTTTGCTAATTTGCGTCACTTGTGGTGTCAAAAAGGTATCTCACTGGATCTTAAAGGTCGTGTGTACCAGGCTACAGTAAGGACTGTTTTGTTGTATGGGGGCGAGACATGGCCTCTTCGGGTAGATGATGTGGGGCGTATTCAGGTTTTCGACCACCGATGCCTCAGAAGCGTAGCTGGTTGTGAATGGCGTCAGCGTGTCAGTAACAGGTCGATTAGAAAACGGGTATTTGGTTGTGCTGCAGGCACCTCAATCCGGGAAAACATCCAGCATCATCGACTGCGATGGCTTGGTCATGTGCTACGCGTGCCGAAGCACTGTCTACAGAGACAAGTGTTATTCTCTGTGCCTCCTTCAGGATGGCGCAAACCGCGAGGTGGACCTAACTTGGCAGAAAGAAGTGAGGGAGATTACAAAGAGTTTGGGTGTTGTTGGTGTTGTGCGACTTCCAGGATGGGGTCTCCGTGACCCCGTCTGTGCTTGGCTGGAGACGTTGCAAGAAATGGCGGCTAATCGATGTCGGTGGCGTTCGTACTGTCAGTTTCTTTCCAGATTGTCTGATTGAGCGGTTAGAGGTGTAGGCACCTCACCATGCTTGACATAGGCCAGCACTAGGTCCCCTCTTTCACTCACTTTTTTCTCTTCTCTTCACTGTAAGGCTTTGAATACAATTATACATATACATATATATGTAAACTAGACGAACCTTATGGTTGTACGGCATTGGAGCATCAGTGCCAACCCTGATGTTGCTGTCTTTGATGATGATGATGTTTTATTTCCACTCGCGCCTCTACGTATGACAAAGGTTCAAAAGGATAACTCGTTAAATTGGAAAACTAATGCTCCATAAGATCACATGAGTGGCTAGGTTGCAAACTAGTCCATACCTGGCTTCCTCCAGTTCGCTGTTTCCATCAAGGATATCTGTTTCTTAACCAATTACCTGGCGGAATCCTGGTCGCTGAGATGAAAACCAGCTTTCAGACAGCATACATGAACTCGAACTCGAATGTTTGTCGCTTAGCAGTTGCCTAAAGAAATGCGTAGCCGAATTCCCAGAATGCTGGAATATAACAATTAGCTTTTCAAGGAGGGGAACAAATCAGTTAATATTGGGGGAACTGGTCTACTCAATTAGCTCCAAAAAGGAAGAGACCGGCAGCGATTTGTCCAGAGGTTGACTCTGAGTGAAATCGAGTCATTTTGGACTTCATTTTAAAGGCAGCCTTAGAGGAAGGAGTCAAAGCTTCCTATTGGTCATAAGATGATGATGTTATTGATGGACAGTGAAGTCCAGTCTGAGAGCTTGTTCATCAAATAAGATGTAGGACATTCCAAACGGGTGGGTCATTTCAAATTTACGCAGTGCCCACAGCAACGCGAGTTCACATGCTCACATTCAACGTTGGGATTCCAAAAAAATTAAACACAGAGAACAGAATGAAAAATTCAATTCAGTAAAACTCCCAACTTTACTAAATGTTTATCAATTAGTCGCTCTGCTAATTGGCTTCCGCAATTTTGGGTAAGTTGGTAAGATCCTGGGAAACCGAATGGTTTTTTTCTGAACAGACTAACAGAGACCCTGATGGGGTCAACATTCGAGTTTATTCAGTCCGTGTAGCTCGCGTTGTTTTGCCCATCCCAGTAATGCCGAATGCTTTGAAAGCTGATGGCTTAAAGTGACCCTACAGCTCCATAAGTAACACAATGTGTCTGAGCTCATCAGTGTGTTCAGATAATCTTGGATCACGGTAGAATAACGTACGCACCTGTAGCCTGTTTTGAATACTGGTAAGTATTTTAAAATCCTATGCCGAAATCATCCAGATGACAGTGTTAGACAATACGTGAGAGAGCCACCGTCAGTCGTCAAAGTGAAATCGCGAGCCAAACACTGATTTCCGTTTTGAGGAATTGAGACTGTAGTTTCTTGCCAGTATAGAGAAGAAGCAACGGAAGTTTGCCAAGGTAATCTATCAGTGACCAGAAAAGATGAAACCTTTGGCAACTGAATTCTTCTGAAATGTATGTTCCTGGATTAGGATTCGATGAAATTCCTAAATTTAGCTTATATTTGGTTACTTACCAATTGTCTAATTCAATCAAACCTCCGACCAGCGACGCTGCATTGCCCCTCATATCCACCGCATTAGTTCAAAGCCAAACCGCTGTGAAAATTATTTTCATTGCTATATGTTTCCTTAATTCTGAGAACCTTCAGCAGCTGAACGATCAAAACTGAATTATCGAACTAGGCAAGACTCGTCAACATTTCCTTGGCATACGTCAGAAATGCAGAGATACAGAGTGCGAGAGAGTTGATGACAGAAGGGCGCAAAGAAAATTCAGCTACAGAAAGTTCGGTTATACGGAAAGGAGTCATAAAGTGGCACCACCACTCTCCGAGAAAATGTACAGTACGCAGTGCAATCAGCTGTGATGTCACGATTGATTTTGTTAATTACTGCTTTACTGAATGTCTCTGTCCTTCCCGTTAGGGTTGAACTCTTTGTACGGGCATTCTGAAATCTCCGCTTCACACACCACCGATTTATGCACAACCTTGCGCAAAATGTATGCATGAGGTACCAAGGGTGAATGCATTAGTGCTTCAGCGGTACAAGACAAATAAGAAATTGAAGTTATTCAGAATCCTACGGTTATGAGGTCAAAAACGGGAAATTCCTTTGTTTCCGACATTCGTGATTGTCCATGTGACCTTATTTCAATGCGGTTTCTCTCATAATTTCGTGAGTGAAAAATTCGTCAACTGGTGGAGAGTTTTTGCAGGTTGAAGTCTGTACCAAACCATTATCCATTTGGTCTCTTTCTAAGTGTAACGCTGACTGAGGTTGGCATTTCTATGAGACCATGCTTGAACACAGTGTCCCTGCAATATTAAAAGACTCTGAACGATATTTTCGGCCGTAAAAGTTTCGGTAAATAACAACTGACCTATTAACGGTTATTCACAACGTCTTGTTAGTAGCTTTTCTCCAGGTGTGACGGTGGATACTACTGATGGGACATGCGAGTAGCACGTTTTCTCGTAAGTCCGCTTGGAGCCTCTTGACATAAATCGTTCTTGAAAAGTGAGATCTATCACGGAATTTGTGGAGTTGCATTTGCATGATTCGAGTAAAAGTCCATGAATATCCAGGAAAGTTCAGGTAGACGCGTTCAAGGAGAAGATGGATATTCACTTTTTATAAACAAGTTGCATATGAGGGTTTTGCTCCCCTTTCCAATAGTCTGTAGCCATTCATTTGGCGTTTTCTGATAAACGACTCCGCAGAGAAGTCATTCTTCCCCTCATTGATAATAATTGTGAACTATACAATTTCACAGCAAAATCAAGGAAATGTAACCTCAGTAGCTGACTCGATAGCCTCAAAACCATGAAGATTGACATGAATTTGAATTCCAAGTACTCTATTGTTACGCATGATCCACCGATTAATTCGTTGTTCAAAGAGCAAGTAACTAGGATGCGGTGTGAATGTTCACTTTTAGAGCCAAAATTGGGATCCACATTTTATTCAGGTGTATCCAAAAAAGCGACGATTGCACTTCTCCCTAGGTGAGAAGCGTGCACCGTGTTGGGCTCCCCTTTCAATAGTCTGTAGCCATTCATTTGGCGTTTTCTGATAAACGACTCCGCAGAGAAGTCATTCTTCCCCTCATTGATAATAATTGTGAACTATACAATTTCACAGCAAAATCAAGGAAATGTAACCTCAGTAGCTGACTCGATAGCCTCAAAACCATGAAGATTGACATGAATTTGAATTCCAAGTACTCTATTGTTACGCATGATCCACCGATTAATTCGTTGTTCAAAGAGCAAGTAACTAGGATGCGGTGTGAATGTTCACTTTTAGAGCCAAAATTGGGATCCACATTTTATTCAGGTGTATCCAAAAAAGCGACGATTGCACTTCTCCCTAGGTGAGAAGCGTGCACCGTGTTGGAAACAACAAAGGTAAGGACCGCGCACGCCTAATTTCAATAGAATTTCCCGTGTGGCGTAAATTTTGGCGTGTTTTCACTGACGTCATTGGAATAAACAACAGCACTGCGAATCAGATGCGCACACTGTTATGTCATTCTTAAAGCTGTCCCGCTGACGCATGATCCAATATGAAAACAACTCCACAACACCACCAACTCCAAGAACGATTATCGGGACAAACGGAGCTACAAAAAACAAACAAATGCTATTTGACACCCTTCTCCACAGGATATGACCATGGATTTCGTCTGATAACCGTTGCCAAAGCAACAGGATGCAACACGGGAAACAGGTTTGTTGCCGTGAAGCAAGTTCTAACAACCGCCTGATGGAACCATTAATCTTTCCTTCCAACCACAACCCATTTTATCTCACTCAAAAGTACTTTGGACAGTAACCTTAAAACTGTTAACCTCACCTCCCTTCTTACAGAAGCATCACGTTCATGCACTTGTCAGTAGTCAACTTCCTACAAAAAGATGAATATTCGTGTAGGTCACCCGCATCCCAATGTTCACCCTGGTCTGCTTGTTGCTTGTACCGATATGTACAGTGCGTCTTTTTATACCAGTCTCCCCGAAGCTGACAGGCTCGATCGAGCTTGACCGAACTGTTAACTATTCCCCATGAAAGGCGAGTGGTTAATATGGTTTATTAACCTCACGAACGATGATGAGAATTAAACAGACACATGGGGACGGTGTGCGTACCCGTCTATACACGTGCAGGCATGCAGAAAACTCTTTTGAAACCAATATCTAACAATTTCTGCCATCTAACGCACACAGATGTGTATCGCGTCTGACTAAGCAAATGCAACACTACGGAATATTTGACATTCTGCTCAAGGCCGGTCGGCCGTGTCAGGCACAGCGTGAGTGATGTAAAATCACTCTACATAACTGGTGAATCACGCTTGTCGTTACGCGAATCAGAAATGTGCACGTTTCTCTTCTGCTGTCCATGAACTCACCCAATGACTAACGTTTTTCCTGCTTTCACAGCATGACAATAATAGTGTGTACGAAGTACGGAAAATGGATCGCTAGCAGACGCGTTGGTGAGAATCACCTTATCAGCCTTTTGATTCACAACCAATCATACGATGTTTGACGAAGTGAACATGATCTGGGTAACAAAGATAGAAAAAGACTGAGATATTTGTACTGTAAACATGAAAGCTCCCATGTGAGGGCAGACAAGGATGTCATACTAAAACCAGGAAACATTTTGCTTGGGACTAGACTTATCGCACTCAGGCTACGGATATCAAACCAAGAGGTGGCAAAGCAAAGAATATCTCCATTACCTTCTTGAAGAGGGGTTTCACACCACATAGTTC